CACGCTGTCCCGCGCCCGCATCACCAGGTCGCTGCTGCTGAAGCCCACCTGGCACTGGGCGCACTTGATGCCGAACAGCCTGCGGGTCCGGGCGCGGCGGGCGTCAGCGCGGGGGGACCCGGGCCCGGGACGCGCAGCCGTGTCCCCCAGCCCACGGGGGCCGAACCCGAGGTCCCACCAGCTCACCTGACGTAGTCCCGCTTGCAGTAGGTTTTCCCGTCTCTCACGAAGCACGTGCACGTCTCATCCAGGTACTGGTTGCACTCGGCGCACTTGAGGCAGGCGGCGTGCCACTCGAGGTCGGGCGATACCCGAAGGATAAACTGGTCGTGGATCTGACTCCCGCAGCCCACGCACATGGCCGTCCCGGGCTTCTCTGGCGGGGAAGGGCGCAGGGCCCATGTCAGGACTGACGGCCGACCCTGGCCAGCCTTGGCCTCTGCATCCCCAGTCCAACCCTCTCTCGCTCTCCCTCTCTTACTCTTAGAAGTGCCACCACAAGGGAAAGGAAAGCTTTCGAAAGGTCCAGAAAATAGGAAACGAAAACAACACAATCTCCTGACATTTCCGTTATCACGGTCTTTGAACGGGCGCGTCGTATCGGTTCAGATACAGACAGAGCTAACGGGAGGCGGACGACAGCGCAGTGACACCGGGGAGCCCCGGACGCCTCCGCGTCCACACTGTCGGCCAAGCCCGGATTTCCGCCCGCTCACAACGACTCCCTCCAATCCCAACATCCACACCGCAGCTTTCAGCGCGGTCCCCGCTCAGCTTCTTCGACAGATTTTAATTTAAACACCGCGCAGATCAAGCTACTGAAATCCCTCTAGCTTCGAAAGACAAGCAAACAGAAAAGAAATCCATCTCCCTAAATCAAACCTAATCGTCCTAGCAGAAAAGAGAAAGAATTCACAGTCTGGGGTCAGTTCAGCCGGCTTGGGAAATAAAGTCTAATTATAAAATAAAACAACAGGATTCCAAAGGATAAACACTGCTACAGGCGAAATGCATTGGTTTTTTTCTTTATTCTCCCAAGTATTTTGTCAAATAGAAGCCACTTGTAGAATCCTCTAAACATTCTTCTGCATTGGAAATGTTGCATATTAAACACGCATACACACCCACACACACAGAAAGACTTACTCTTGGAATGATCCCCCATAGCACCCAGAAAAGGATAATGAAAAATAATATCCACCATGCAGAGAGAGATGTACGCAAAGCGTGCGGCCGGGGGCAGAAGGACCAGGGTCGCGCGCCCAGCCTCTGCTCTTTGCTAACTAACTCCTGCCCCGCGGAGTTGAAGGGGCGATTCCGCACCGGCCCGCACGCAGCATGACGTCAGCACGCACTCGCCCGGGCCGGAGCTGGAGGCGGGACCTGTAGCGTCGTCACCCAGCTCCCCCACAGCCGCGGGGAATGTGGGGGAGGTGATGGGGACCCGGAGGGTGGGCTTCGGTAGCGCCGGGAGATTGGCTGCGAGGAAGTGAGCCAGCTCTGATTGGCGGGGAGTGAACAATGGAGCACAGCCCCCCTCCTCCCTGAAACCTCCCAGGATCCGCTCTGCGGCCCCGCGTCCCGCAATCCCTGGGAAACTGCGTCTCCACCCAGCGGGCTCTGCCGCAGCGCCGCGCTTTCTGTGGACTTGCGGGGCGGTTGCCCCAGTCGCTGCCTAGCAGGGTGATGGACACCTGAGGATAGACGGGAGCCGTCGCTCCCTTAAAAGTGCTTTTCTTTTGTAATTTTTAAAATAGGAATTTCTCCTGGGGACGATAGGACTAAGGGAGAAAAGGGGATCCGTTGGGTCGCGACCATCGCTGGTCCTCCGGGCCACCTTCCTCCCCTGTGCGCCTGAGCCTTTGTTCGGCGGGGGTCCAAGTTAGAGAGAACTGGTAGGAATTGACTACCTGGGTTTGGATAAACTCTATTCGGACTTTCCCACCCGTGCCGCCCGTAGAAAACTCGATGTTGCAGGTGGGTAAAGCCGGAAGGACTCCAGAGGCTCTAGCCAAGGTCCTGCTTCCACCCTTGCGGCGGCTCTTTCTCCTCCCTCATCTTTTTCGTCTTTTTGGTTAAGTTAACGCCAACTCCCACCCCCTCCTTTCTCCACTCTGCTGCTTTGCTCCTTCTAAGAACACTGTTGAGATGTGTTACACTTCCAGAATAAACGATTTTCACGAACTCTAATTGTGGATTTCACAAAACCGATTACAACGCAAATAATCAGAAACAAATGTGGGGCGAGGAGTAATTTGCTATCTTCCCGATGGCTTTTTAATCCTTAGAAAATTTGCAACTTCTAAAAAGTCAGGGCTTTTTTTTCCTTCACAAAATTCGCCTTGAGTTTTGTTTGAAAGGGTTGAAAGACAAATCGGTGAGGTATAAACAGCGTTTATCCTTAGATGGTCTCTAAGTTCCCCACCCCCATTTTAAAAGGACACCAAGAACTTGACGCCTCTCTAGGTGGAGTGCGGGTGGGCTCCTGGGATAATGTCTCCACCCAATCCTATATCCCGACTCGGTTGTCTGCAGGCCTCTCCGCCTGAGAGCGAATTCGGGCGCGGCAGCCCAACTGCTAATAGCCAGAGGCTGTTGGGCTGGGAAAAGGATGCAGCCAAGAGCTCGGAGAGAAACTGTAGAAAGTCGGGGCTAGGTAGACCCTGGATGCACAAAACCCGCTCCTCCGAGGTGCTACAGTGCAGGAAGCCGCCCTCTGGCTCGTCGCTCTACAGCCCAGTTTCTGTGGCTTTTGACCCCCACCTCCACCCTCGGAGCTCCAGGGCTCTCACTGGACCTGCCACTGCCTACAGACCCCTGACAACAGACTGATTCCTTCCTGTCTCTCCCACTAGAGCCCCAGCCACTCTCAGTCTCTGTGAGCTGTGTCAAGGGCTGGAGCCCTGCTAAGTTTGCTAGTAAACCCAAACCACCACGAGGAAAGTAAGGAGCCTTGAATCTTTGCCCTGGCCCCTGAACTGAACTCTGAGTGACTTCCGGTGTTTCATTCTCATTCCCTCGCTTTTCCTCATCTGTAAAATGGGATGTACTTAGACCAGCTATCTTTGCTTTGTAAAAATTAAACTAGTTTCAGGGAAAGCCTTAAACTCATACCTGGTGCAAAGAAGTTGCTCAATGTGTGGTGGCCATGGTAACCACAGTGGCTCTCTCTGTGTTGAGATTCTGTGTTACCAAAAGTGCCTTCCCTGTGTGGGCCTTGTTAGAAGCAGGGGCGGGGGGCGGGGGGGGGGCGGGGGGCGTAAACACATACTGCCGGTTGCCCAATGATTTGGTTGTGAATGCAATGCGTGCTTGTTCTGTGTGCTTGCCACGTGGATGGGAGGATTATCCTGCCTTAGGTGTGGACTTTGTTTATTGATGATGTCAGTGAGCGCTCTGCGCTGTGCCTGCTGTGTGGGAAGCTCCAGGCACACCAGGACAGTGTCCCCTCACTCTCCACCCCAAGACAGCCCCTGGTCAAACCTGACTCCCTTTACCCCTAAGATCCCACTGTTCACCCTGGTACTGGCTATCAGGAGGGAGCAGATCTCAGGAATCCTAGGCTCAACCTTTAACCCTTTTCCGCCTATAGATACTCCCCCTTCCTAACAAGAAACCCAGTCTCCTGAGACTATACTCAGAAGACTTCTGAACCACTCACCTCCATTTCTCTGAAAGGCCTTTTTCAGGTTCCTCATGTGGATCTCCTGGGTCACAGAAGTCCATGCTGGCATGGGAAACACATGGGTGACTTTTGTCCTGCCTGCTTCTCTGCCCCACCCCCCACAACACCAAGCTCCCCTTCCAGAGGGACAGAGTCTTCTTCTCTCATTTTCCTGGCTATGGCACCCAAGAGACCTTTCTCCTTTCTTGTCCTTGTTGAGAGCCCTAACCCCAGCTATTGCAGGGGAAGACACAAGGACTGCAGAGGAAGTCCCTGAATGTGTCCCCATTCTGTCATTGATACTGAACATGCTCACAGTTGGCCCAGGTGCAAAGGTCCCTGAGAAAGCAGGTGGTCTCGCTCTGTGATGACAACAGCTGGCTTCTGAGAACAAGCCTTGCCTGAGGGAAGGAGCAGCAGGAACCTGTGGCCAGGGCTAGGGAGTCACCTACATAGGGCAAGCAAAGGAAAACAGACTGGCTTTTATTTTTTTATTTTTTGGCTGTTGTTGTTGTGGTGGTGGTGGTGGTGGTGGTGGTGTGTGGGTTTAGGCAATCTTTCCATTCTTTCCCTTCTACCCTCCCCATTTCCTTTCTCTTAGTTCCAGGAGGCAGGACAGCGGGCGGGCAGGTCATGCTCCCCTTGACTGACAGGGCAGAGGTAGTGCATGCCTGCACAGATCCCAGCTCAAGACCCAGAGAGCCTGTGGCATCCTGCACGTGCACATTCATGCACACACACAATCGGCTTCCTTCCCACATCACCCCTTCCTGTTCTTATCCCTTCTTTTTCCTGTAGATTCACAAATGCAAAAAGGCATACTGATCGTGGTCAAACCATCACCATGGCCAATACACGAGTCTAGGGGCCGGGTGCTTCAACACATCTCACAGAAATCCTAGGGATGGGTTGCTGTTACCCCTACATCACAGCTGACGAGCAGTGGTATGGAACGGCTCCGTACCTAGTGCCAGAGCATGCAACTGTCAGAGAGGCAGTATCTGAACCAGGCTCTCAGTGACCACTGTCTGCTTGTGGATTCTTTGATGTATATTGCCTCTCAATCACTCACAGAAGAAGCCACTGGTAGTGGGAGGAACCTCGATCTACAGTCTTTTTGACACCATAACAAAATAGTCAACCAAAAAAAAAAGTTAAAGAAGAGTTATAACTGACCGTCTCAGTTTTCAGTCCATGGTGAGGCCCCTTGCTCTGAGGCTGCAGTAAGGCAGTGTAGGGTAAAAGAGCCAGCCAAAGAAATCCACCCCAATTCTGAGACCTGGGCCAGCCAAAGAAACACACTCTGGCTCTGAGAACTGAGCCAATAAAAGAAACACACCTTGGCCCTGAGACCTGAGCCAGTGAACGAAATGTTTTAGCCCCAAACCCAGAACCAAAGAAATACACCCTGACTCTGAAACCAGTGCCAAAGAAACACACTTTGCCCCTAGAATCATAGTCAGTGAAAAAAAAAATATATCCTGGCCCCCAATCTAGAGCCAAAAAGCTTTAAGAGGCCAGTGAAAGAAAGAGTTTGTCTCTGAAATCAACCAACTCTTCCCCTGACCAACTAAGCTAACCAATCCCTGAGCAGGAAAAAACTAACCAATTCCCCTTCTCCCTGGGGAAACCCTACCCCTAAGAAGCCCTATATAAGCCCTGGTCAATTTGCTGCTGCATTTCTTCCACCCTGGTAGAGGCAGCCACTCTTCTGGTTTCTTCCCTCCCAATAAATCTATTTTCCCTAGAGCGGAAACAGAGCAGAGCCGGACTGGAACACTTCTTTTGCTGGGGAAGCCTTTTCCTAGCAGCTGCAGAGTTGTTACAACTTTGCAGGGGAAGTCCCGGAGCTGAGAGGGCAGGGCTGTAACACTTTCCCTAGGGAAACCTTCCCCTAGCAGAGCAGAGTTGTAACAACGACCCTGGGAAGCCGCCTCCTGCCAGAGCAGAGCCATCACACTGGGGAAACCTTCTCTAGGGCAGGGCTCTAACCTGCTAAGCTTACTGTGGCCCTTGCTGTCCCCTGGCTCCCAACTGCCAGAATGCTCTTCCACCTGAGCTGTAACACTCAGTGTTCCTTGACTCCGGACTGCCAGGATCCCATTCCTTTTGAGCTGTGCCTCCTCCAGGCAGAGCATCATGGCAGAGAGGGTATGATAGGTATCATGGCAGGATCCCTGGAGGTGGGAGTTCGAGGGGGACAGACCCAGGACAAGATTTGCCTTTCATAGACACCTGGAGTGTCCTATGTCATTCATCCAGGCCTGTTTCCTAATAGCCCATCAACTACAACCTTATCGATGGATTTATCTATCAGTTAGGTCAGCGTGCCCCAGGATCCAGCACCCTTCAATTCCACCTACAGAACCGGAACCCTCAATACATGAGCTATCTGGGGAGAAATTTTAAATCTACGCCATAATAATATTAGAAAGGAATCTAAGATTTATTGTGCAATATATAAACAACAGGTGCTAGAGCTGAAAGTCAGGTTCCTTGGCCCAGGCCAAGGCCTGTCTGCTGGAGTACCTGCCTGAGGA